CTGACCCTCTCACACAGTTGAAAATCCAAATATAACTTTTGACTCCCCAAAACTTAACTACTAATAGCCTCCTGTTGACTAGAAGTCTTACCGATAATAGAAGCAGTTGATTAACACATACTTCATATGTTATATGTATTAATACTGTGTTCTTACAATAAAGATTAAGCTAGAGAAAAGAAAATGTTATTAAGAAAATCTCAAGGAAGAGACAATTATCATAAAGTCTTCGTCCTTGTCATCTTCACATTGAGTAGGCTGAGGAGGAGGAAGAAGAGGAGGGTTTGGAATTGCTGGCTCAGGGTGGCAGCGGTGGAAGAATATCTGTGTGTAAGTTGACCTGCACTGTTCAAACCTGTGTTGTGCAAGGGTCTGCTGTGTTGCCATTGTAAATCAAAGGACTGAAAGAAAAGCTTGGAAAAAATCTTCTCGCCTGGTGTTCATATAGGGGTTTATTAACTCTGGGGTTGATGTTACCATCTTATGTTTATAAAAAGAAGAGGTTAAAAGAAAAGATATTGAGAAGCATGGTAGTATATGCTTTCCTTCCTTGTGTACATGCCTTTGATCGAAATATCCTCCTTCTCTCAGCACCTGAATTTCGTGGAACCTGCCCCTTTTTCCCTGTGCAAAATCAATCATTCCTCTATGCTCCCGTAATGCTTTGTGTTTAATCTCTAGTATGTTCATCATCATCTTTTCTCTTTAGCATATTACACTCTGATGTAGCAAATACTTCTGAAAGAGAGTTGCAAGAGCACTGTGACTGACTGCAGTAAGCCAGCTGGAAACTTCCATGTGCTAGGAGTGGATTCCAGGACTGTACCTTTAGAGATTCAGAAATTTGGAGGTGGAACATGAGTTTAAATTTTTACATGCTTTGTTTCATAAGTTACACTTCGGAAAGTGCTTAAACTTGAACTTAAAAAATATCCCTACTTGTTCTAGGAGCAAAACAAGCATTTTGATCAAAGCAGCCTGGGTGCATTCAATCATTGTTCATTCAACAGTCATTAGTGAACTACTAATTGTAGTAATCTGTCCCAGGTGAGGCTGTGTGCAGTAGCTGTCCCTTTTGTAGTCATGTTCATCTCCTTTTGCTGTTTGTCTTTTCTGTCTTTGCAAGCCCAAGCCCATTCTTAGGGCCCATTCAGTCAAAGTATTAGCCAATAAGTACTTTCAATATTTTTCGGGGCCAGGGCGGTGGAGGAGGGGGATGCTAAGAAGAGTGAGAGGGGAAATAGATTTGCATTTTAATAGAGTATTTAAATTCCTTGGTATTTCAAATTACTGGAGAAGAGAAGGGTTTCTAACTTTTACTGAATTCCTAGGTGTGCCCAGCACTTGACCTGTATTATCTCATTTAACCCTTGCAATAAGTTTAAGAGGTGTTACTATTTTAAAGAGGAGGAAGTTGAGACCCCCCATGTCTGGAAATAGGATAGATGGAACATGAACTAGAGGCAGGTCTTACTGTAGAGGCCCTGCTCATTCTCCTCTATCCAGATGCCTCCGTTACCTCAACGTTCTTCCCACATCTATGCTGCTTGGGAACAGCTTGGGATCACTGGAACATCCTGGTACTTGTCCTGTTTTGAGTGAAAGATTGCTCTCTGGGCTGCCCCAAAGAGCACTGATTGGCCTATAATCTTCTTAACTTTCCTAGGAGTGAGTGAATGACAACTTGGGTCACTTTAGAAAGGATACTGATCTTTAGGATGAGTGCATAGATCCAAAGCAAGCACGATGTGGACTAGTTCACTACCTTGCTGTTAGTGAAGGTGTGTTCATTTTTTATTGTAAACATACCTTGTTTCTTTTTTTTGTTTGTTTGTTTGTTTTGAGACGGAGTTTTACTCTTGTTACCCAGGCTGGAGTGCAATGGCACAATCTCGGCTCACCACAACCTCCGCCTCCTGGGTTCAAGTAATTCTCCTGCCTCAGCCTCCCGAGTAGCTGGGACTACAGGCACAGCCCACCATGCCCAGCTAATTTTTGTATTTTTAGTAGAGACGGGGTTTCACCATGTTGACCAGGATGGTCTCGATCTCTTGACGTCGTGATCCACCCGCCTCAGCCTCCCAAAGTGCTGGGATTATAGGCGTGAGCCACCGCACCCGGCCCATACCTTGTTTCTATTTGATGAAAACCAGACATCAGAATCTCCAGCCAAGTGTACATGTTACTGATGACGTCTTGCTAGTCAGATTCAAAGTCTTTTTTGCAGGCGTTAGTTCTTGAACAATAGATTCAGGAACTAAGTTAAGGCCTGAAAAGAGTATTTGTTTTCTGCATTTGATATAGAGCTTATTGACAGATGAGGAAATTAAGGCACAGGAGGGAAACACTGGCCTCAGCAGTGCTTTCTGCCTGTGCTGCCATGTATGTATCTGATTGCTGGGTATTAATTTGAGGAGTCTAGGCTAGGTCTACCTGATTGAATCAGAAGATTCCTGAAGCCACAAGCTGTGCCTAGAACTTCATTGCAGGTCTAAGAATCTGTAGCATTTGATCCAGTGACCCACTTCTTAAAACTTCCTCTGGCTTCCATGCCTTTAAATTTTCCCAGCTCTTCTTCTCCAGCCTCTTCCTCTTCTCCTTCCTTCTTTTCCTATTTTCCAATTGTGGACATTCCAAGTGAACTGATCTTCGAAGCTTCATCTCTTTTTCTCTACACCTCCATCCTCAGCTTCCCATTTAGTCCATTGTTCCTTGTTTCTTCTTGCCCAGACGACAGTAAGTTACTCAGCATCTTTCTCAAACCATTTCCTCTTCTCAACTATGCTTCATCTGTCATTGGTCTAATGATCCATTCTTTTTAAGACGGAAAGATCTATTCTTCCTATGACTGGCCTCAAAGTCTAGGTTAACTTGACTAGTTTGTTCTTTTCCCCAGGATAAACAATGAATCAATGAGAAGAATAAAATCTTGCTTCAAATATTTGATATTTTTCTTTATGACATTTGGTATCTTCAAAGATATGCTATCTGTCATTTCCTTTCTATCACTTCTGTCAACCTCACATATCATTGCTTCCTGCAACTATCCCAAATAATCTCTTGAAATAATAATAGCAAATGTATGTTGAATACTACATGTATTGTGCTAAGCATTTTACATTTGTTACTTTCTTCAGTCCTCACAACCACTCTGTGAGATGCTATTTTCTTCATCTTGCCAAAAAGAATACTGAGGCAACTTGCTCAGCATCACACAGATACTGAATGGTGGAGCCTCAACTCAGCTCATGCCTGTTTTGTTCTAAACTTGATGGTTGTAACTTGGAAATTCTGTTGCTTCCTAGAATATAGGATGGTATATAGGAGCAGGCAATTAGTGAAGATTAGTTTCCTTTCTTCTTTTTCTATCCATCACTTCTTCCTCAATTTGTACTGAATCCGTGTAAATGCTAGGTGAATCAGTGGTCCCTTCACTGTCCGTAAGATGCCACTTCAGCTCCTAATTTGTGATTCAGGGTTCATGGTGTGTAATAGAAGGCACATTGAGGCAGAAGTTCTTTCTATCCCTGGCTTTGCTACTAAACTTGTTCTGTAACATTGGACAAGTCATTCAACAGCTATGCCTGAGCTGCTTCATGTGGCAAGTGAAAGGTTTGGTTGACACTTTCTTTGATTCTTTCCAGGTCTGCATTTTTGTGACGTTGTTATTCTGCCTTCCCTTGTTTTATCCTTGTTTCTAGTAAAAACCCTTTCCTCTATGCCTTTTTTCCAAGCACCCCAGACCCTGTCAGCTCCATCTTGGCTGTTGCCTCTGCTTGCCCAGGGAGCCTTTTCCTCTTCCTGCTGCATCTGAACTCCACCACCCTCCCAGGCTCTTCCTTCTGTGTAAAGTTAGTCCTTCTCTCTGCCTTTTCCAGGCATCTGCAGTACTCGGATCTCCTGCATTGTTGCTTGCCTGTTTTCTGTTCACACATCTTGTCTTCTTAGATAACAGGTCCTTGAAGGGCTGGCTGGTCAGCTGCTCTAAGTTTGTTTTGTGTGCTAAGTTTCTTGTGTGTACCAGGGTAGGTGACTTCAAATGGAGTAGGTATTTCATAAATAATTGTTAAATGATTACATTTGGGCTTTATCTCAAGAGCAGAGGTTACTCAGCAGGAATGCCCGTCAGGGGAATCAGAATCAGGACACACAACTGACCAGAATTGACGAGGGTAAAACTTCTGGCAGACTAGTTTAGGGAATTCCCACAATCCAGGGAGAAGTCCCTGAAGGCCCAGCCTAGTGAACAAGTGAAAAAAGGCAGGGAACACCAGATAAAAAAGGCTTGGTGTGCGCTGACTCTCCCACTGACAATCCTGGGCAGCAATGTCACTGTTACCTGGCTTTCTCTTCTCCAAGCAGTAGAGCTGCCCAAGTAAGCCAGGCAGACGTGCTAAGGGGCAGGCTCGGGCACCCGAGATCAGGGCTCCAGAGAGCAGGCGGTATAAACCAATATAATGGGGTGGATGAGTAGTTCTCAGCACAGCCCGATTTTAAGAGGTGGGGCAACATTTTCCCAGAGTCACTTACTTTCTTTGCCTCTGCTGAGGCAGATAACACCTGTGGATTTGTGGCCAGAGGATGTATGGTTCTGTGAACACATTTCATATCCAAGGCTGCCAGCTCTGTTTTGGCCCTTCTGTTTCTCAACGGAGCACATAGTAGCAGCTTATCGCCCAACCTCAAGTGCGTGATGGAAGCACTGGGGCCTGAGGAATGCTGAGAAAAGTGTGGCCACTTTCCACCTGGAAATTCCACTTAAGAAGGAAAAAAAACAACCTAAGCAGAACCTAATCTAGACTTTTGGGCAGATCCGGAAACAGATTTTTGGCCGGCATTGGCGTGGTGGGAAGGAAGACAAAGTGGAGGGAGAACTGGTGAGTCTGAAATTAATCAAAACGCGGCAAGGGACAAAGCAAAGGAGGCTGCCGCCCTCCTAAGTCTCAGGGAGACACGTCAGCTGGAGCTCCGGGCAATTTTGGCCTGGCAGTCTCGCGGCCCCGGGAGGGGCGGCGGACGTCTGCAGACGGGCTCTAGGGCCCGGCGGCCGGGCGCCACGGCGGGGTGGAGTGTAGGGTTACAGTGACGAGCCCGGGCGACCCTCCCCGGCCCGCGAGCGGGGAGAGGGGAGCGCGGACGGCGGCGGGAGCGCGCGGGAAGCTCTAAGACCAAGCAGCGCTCGTCGGTTTTGGGGCTGGAGGTGAAGCCCTGTGTGAATGGGGTTGATTGTCTGGCGCCACTTCCCCGCGCTGCCCCAGGCCATGTCCAGCGCGCTGCCCTGCGGCAGCCTTCCCCAACCCCGGGACTGAACTAGCCATGATCGCCTCATGTGGAGGACAAAGTTGCGCCGGGGAACCTGTGAGCCTGCGGTGAAAGGTAACCAGCGGCCGCTCGAGGTGCCGGGAGGGCGCCTCCGAGGCTCCCACGCGGAGAACCCAGACGCCCCGGGCTTCCCCGGACCATGCTGCTCAGGGAAGGGGGCAGCTCCTGGGGACCCGAGGCTGAAATCCCACATTACTGTTGTTTTTAAGCGGGTTCCCTTGCCCCGCTTCAGGTCCTGTAGCCTACGGGCCGGGCCTCAGCGCCTTGCCGCCCCAAGACCCATGTAGGCTGAAGTTGTGGCTCCGGGGTGCGGGCCCGGGGTGCGGCGCGCCAGACGCAGGGCTGGCCTTTTCGGAGGGGCGCAGCCATATGGTCTGAATCCCCGTGGCGCGCCCGCGCAAGGGTCTCGCTGCGAGGGAGGGGACGAAGAGGGTGTCCGTGCCGCTTCCTCCGCGCGAGACAAAGGCGCGCGCACCGTCCCGCCCGACGGGCTCCGGAGCTCGGAGCTAGACCCTTCCTGCCCGCGGGCCAGACCCGGCTCTGGCGGGTGGGGGCGACGAAGGGGTTGCACCACAGCCCCAGACGCCCGGATCGCGTTAGCTGCTGCTCCTTCTTTGTTCTCTCCCTAGGCTAGCTTCTTTGACAAACTGGAGTTAGATCCGGCTCCCGCTTCCCTGTTAGGGCTGCCTTTACAATAATCTGGTTTCAGGGGGAAAAACATTTAAACTTTCCAAATGGAACTGTTTTTTCTTGGAATGTGACATTTGTAGCAGGAGGGAGAGTGGCGCGTCGGCCGATGACAGCCAGCGGAGCCGGGGCCCAGCGCCGGGACAGGGGCCGAGCGTGCCCCAAAGGCAGCCGGGCTGGAGGACACCGCGGCCGAGCCTTGGAGCCCTGGCGCGCACCTCTAGGGCCTCTGCCATCTGGACTGCGCTTACGGCGACGCTTCCAGGTTTCCCCCCTTAGAGGCCCAGGCCGAGAATCCTGGGTCCCCGCTCACAGCTCCCGCGCGTCGCCCACCCTACTTTTCCAGTTTTGATTGATCACTAGGAAGACTTTCCCTTTCCATTTTCGTTCGAAGGTTTTTGCCTTTTTGGCTTCGGTGTTAGTTTCCTGTCTCCGAGTGCCAAATAGCTTTTGGTCAGGTTAGCGTGTGGATCACCTGGACTGGGGTTTCAGAGGTCAGGGGCCTGATCGTGCCGCCTCCTGAGACGATGCGGTTTGGACCCAACGTTTTGTCCCCGTGGTCCCTCAGCTCCCTTTCTCTGTGAGGCCTTGGTTGCCCATTTTCTTCTCCGGAGTCATGTTATGAGAATCGAGTTTTTGTACTGCTTGCAGAATTCTTTGGTGGTGGTAGGGTACGTGGTCTCGAGAGCCAATTGTGATACGTCGAAGATACTTTCAGCTAACCAAAACAGTTATGTGCTAACCTGTTCACCATAAACGAATGAAACCAGAATAGAGGGATATTAATAGCTACAGTTCCAGAAAATTTCCTTCCTTTTCAGGAAGCAAAAAGTCAGGGCTTGAAATATTAAACAGTCATGGCTCCCTGCTTCCAAAACTGGCCGATGGGTCACTGCCAAACTGGCTAAGATTTTCCTTGGCTGCCTACCACTCCTGGGCCCGGCAACTGTGGAAGTCAGACCCAGGTTAACAATTAAGGAGCTCTGTAGATTGCAAGGTCTTGAAGCATCTATAGCAACTGACATTTACCTCCTACCAAGGTGCTCTGAGCATTATAGTGTATCCATTATGAAGGCTCTTTATGAAAATAATGTAGGAACAATAGTTTAATACACTTTGAACTGTTACTAAAGGGTGGAAAAGCATTGGTTTGACCGGAAGGAAAGAAAGTACCGATTCTACCAGAATGAAAAGGTTAGGATGTACAGTAGAAGGCCTTACACAGGCTCTACTTTTCCTTATGGTGTTGGTGGGGGTGCTGGGGAGGGGGCCGAAAGGGATAAGGATGTGTACTTCTTGTACGGGTGTACTTTTGTTTTTCTGAGATGCATTTTTCAAGATAAATAAGGAAACCTTTGTAAACCTGTGAGTGTATAGGAGAGAAGGTGCTGTACCTGTAACTCCCCTCTCTCTCCCTCTTCTTTTTAAAATGCACGGAAGTGTTGGTCTTTCAGATTCTTTGCAGATGATGGAAGATGTACAATACTAATGTTCCAAAGGGCATGTGGAGATCAAAACATTTAAAAATACATGTTTTCATGGAAGCTAATGGAGGATTTTCAGTTTAAATGAGATGTTAAAGTGCTGTCCTTAAGAAAAGCACATGTATGCAGAAATGTGAGTGATTTTATGGGAAGGCACTCTGCTGATTAGACTTGAGAGTGTCTGCCCTGGGCCAGTTAATCTGGAGGCTCCTGTGGGTAGAGCTCGGGTTTTCTGATGTCTACCACTGTGGAAAAGTGTGGAGCCAGGGCCTGGTGAAAAGATGGCTGAACTAATTGAAAGTAGCAGGCTGGCTGGGGAGAGTTCTGTTGAAAAGTACAGCTGCTAGGTACCAGAGTTGCATTGCTTCGTAGTAATTTGTGAAAATGCTTTGAAAATGATAAAACACTATATAATGTAAGACTTTTGAAAAAAATGATGACATGAAATAGAAATTGCTAGTGAAAATTGTAAAAGTTTGATTTTTCAGGCCAATAAATTTAAAAGAAGTAACTTTGTAAGACCTATTAACATTTGTGACACATAAAATTCCCCCAAAGTAACCTTTTCTCTTTTCTTTTTTTTTGGGGGGGGGTGGGATGGGTGGGTGTGGCTGTCTGCATTTTAAATGCATAAGAAGCTCAGGTCAGGAAATTCTGCAGTGTTTTGAATACTTTTCCCCCTATTTTTCATTAATTTTGGCAGGTTCTTATGACTCAGAATTTAGTAGGTAATAAAATCCTTGAAAAGCACAGGGTAGCACGGAGGTCAAGTAAAAGGAGATATTTGATTACAGGGTTTGTTGGAAATAGACTGAGGTTGTTGTGGTTTTATGTTTTGTTTTGGTTTTTTGTTTGCCTAGTGATTTTTTTAAAGTTAATTTTGTTGGCTTGGCTTTGTTTTGTCTTGGAGGAGAGGTACAATGTAAATCTTGGCAATTGTGGGTAAGGCAGTCCTCTACATTTGCTGGAAGGAAGCCACTCCTGCTCTTGGTTTATGTCTTGGCACCAAGCTGAGTTCTCCTTTAACTTGTGAGGCCATTGGCTCTGCCCTCTTGGTTAGGCCTTGTGAAATCTTAGGGTATATTCATTTTGGACACTCAAGGCAGGACTCCTGGACTCCTAAAGGGATTCACACATCAGGCATTTTTTCCCCAACTTTTAGGAGGGAGTAGGAGAGTAGCTCTAAGGTGGTGGAAATGTATCCCTGTTAAGATACTGAAGAATTAGATTAAAATTTTCAAAAACTGTCATCCTACCCTGCGTGTTTAAACCTGTGTTTGAGACCTCACTGGCCAGTATTGCAGCTATGTACCTCTATTTTGTCATTTTGTTTTTATAAAATGTCTGCCATTTCCTTTTTTTTTTTTTTTTTTTGGTAACTTTTTTGTTTTGAAATGATCATAGCTTCATAGAGAGTTGCAAAAATAGTAGAGAGGTCCTGCGTTCCCTTCACCCAGTTTCCCCCATTGGTAACATCTGACATAACCATAGTACAATAGCAGAACCAGGACTTTGACACTGGCACAGTCCACAGATCATAATCAGATTTCACCAGTTTTACATGCACATGTGAAATTTGTATTTCTATGTGTATACTTCTATGCAGTTTTTCATGTGTCGATTCATGTAACTGCCACCACAACCAAAGTACAGGCTATTCTATCACCTCAGCGATCTCCCTTATGCTATATCTCTATAGTTGCACCAGCCTTCTTCTCCCCACCCTGATGCTAAATGCTTAGCAACCTTTACTCATGTTCACTATATCTACAATTTTGTCATTTTGAGAATGTTACATAAATGTAATCATGTAATATGTGAACTTTTGAGATTGGCTTTTCACTCAGCATAATGCCCTGGAGATCCATCTAAATTTTTGCTTCTATCAATCTTTTGTTTCTTTTCATTGCTGAGTAGTATTCCATGACATGGATATACTATGATTTGTTTAACCATTCACCTGTGGCTTTTTACCAGTTCATGACTATTGCATATAAAGTTTTTGTGAACATTTATATATAGGTGTTTGTGTGAACATAAGTTTTTATTTCTCTGGTGTAAATGCCCATGATTGTGATTGCTGGATTATATGGTAAGTGTGTGTTTAGTTTTTTATGAAATTGCCAAACTTCCAGAGTGGCTGCACCGTTTTACATTCCTATCAGCAGTGTATGAGAGATCCAGTTTCTCCGCATCTTTACCAGCATTTGGTGTTATCACTGTTTTTCATTTTAGTTGTCCTAATAGGTGTTCTTGTCTTATCATGGTTTTAATTTGTATCACAGTAATGGCTGATGATGTTGAATGTCTTTTTTTTGTGTGTGTGCTTTTTTGCTATCTATATATCCTTTTTTGGTGAAATAACTATTCATGCTTTTTGCCCATTCTCTAACTGGATTATTTATTTTGCTGTAGAACTTTAAGAGTTATTTGCATATTCTAGATACAAGTCCTTAGTCAGATTTCTGGCTTATATATATATTTTTCCAAGTATGTAGCAAAGCTTTTTAGGCCCTTACCCCAAGATCTTTTGCAGATCAAAAGTTTTCAATTTTGATAAAGTCCAGTTTATAGATTTCTTTTTTTCTTTAAGGATGGTGCTTTTGATGTCACATCTAAGCACATTTTGCCTAGGCCCATGTCTCAAACATTTTCTCCTGTGTTTTCTTCTAAAAGCTTTATAGTTTTACATTTTATTTTTAAATTATACTTCACTTTTTTTTTTTTTTGAGACGGAGTTTCGCTCTTGTTACCCAGGCTGGAGTGCAATGGCGCCATCTCGGCTCACCGCAACCTCCACCTCCTGGGTTCAGGCAGTTCTCCTGCCTCAGCCTCCTGCCTGTAGCTGGGATTACAGGCACACACCACCATGCCCAGCTAATT